ATAAATACTATCCAGCATAAAGCACAGTTTTAAGTAACAGTCTCAGAGTAGTTTCGTTTTGTGTGAAAACATGGCGGAAAGCTGGCAGGTTGCAAAAGAGTGCTAAGGGAATTATATATGTTAATTATAGGAATGTACCTCTAAAGGTTCTAACAATCTTCAGAAAAGATTCGATGGCATTTTGTTTTCATCTTCGCTTCTTGTAATACCTAATGAAGTAGTGTTTTAATCGCAATGCTGCTTTGTCCACGGAGGTTACGAGAATCAGCTGTAATTCTGCTGCTCCATAAGCGCCACCTAGTGTCAGAGAGTGGATTTACAGAGACATTTGCCATTTTATTTGTTCTTTGTTGATTTTAAATATAAAACTTGGTGAAACAATTTATGTGTCAGTACTTTCTGAACATTTCCATTTTAACAATACCGTAATAATACTGATAACCATGATAATTTTGGTCACTATAATCGTTACATTCAATCAGCATAAATCAAAACATGTTTTAATGTATTCTTAATAAAATTTATGCAGCCTTGGTGAAGTATTTAAAAAAATTACAAGCTGAAGAACCCTTTTCTGGTACTGTTTAGAACCATTTTTCTTAAGAGTGTAGTAGATATATGTTTAGTTATTCTGAATGGATCCGTGTACTGTAGTAGATAAATGCAGTCAGCAGGCGGTTGGTTTAGGGGTTTTTGGCATCTCCATGTGGTCCTGTTCAGTATCGCAACTTGACTTCTCTAAAATGTAAAAAAGCTCTTTGCTGTTGCACTGTACACATACTATACACTTCAGATTTTTTTCTTTCATATGTGCTTATATGGGCTCCTTATATCATTTGGTTCTTTGGTGTCCTAAGTGTCCTTTTTTGGAAAGTCATCTAAATTTATTTTGAAAAAAGCTTACAGAAAATACAGATTTTTGAGAATCACCCTTCAATCTTTTGGTTTACTTTGCTGCATAGCAAATGATGACAAAATAAACCTTTGAAACGAGATAAATGGTCTATGCTTAATTTCATGAAGTGTGCGATTAATCACATAAAAAGGTTGGGATTAATTAGATTAAAAATGTATTTATATATATATATAGAGCGAGAGAGAGAGAGATATGACATAATAATCATAATCATCGCAATTTTTAATTTTCATATAGGAAGTTCTGTGAACTACTTTTATAAAACATTTTGGAGTTGGACAGCTCTTATACCATCCATTTTAATGAATAATATAATAATCACAATTTCCCACTGAATGAACACAGCACTTCAAGAGTAGTTTTTGACAGATGACATTTAATTCATTTGACATCTGACATTCAAATCACTATTGGGTCGCCATTGTGTTGACAACCAAACCTCCAGAGTAAATCTCAGCCGTCATCGATACAGAAAGCCAAAGCGTGGCTAGAGAACTAAGAGCATTAAACAACAGCTTACAAAAGCATTCAAGTCAGTCTTCATATGTTTATTTGACCGAGCACAATGCCATGGGACAGTCTGACATGTAAACTAGCACATTTAGTGGAGGTGTGGGAGAAGCACTGCTCTACAGAGATGAGCACAGGCACGAGTTATTCTCCTCTCACGGCTCCATACAGTAGATAAATATATATACACAACAGTATCTAGTGTGTTTATCCGAATGCTACACAGACCCAATAGACATGAGAGAACAGCGGTGAGAAAGAGGTTCATGGAGTGACAGCAACACAGAACGAGTGTGAGGAGAGAGATGTGTGACACAGAGCTGCTGTACTGTTACCATCTACTCAGAGAGAGTGAATATGTGATATTAGCAGAGAGATGATTTCACACTTTGGTCAACAAATGATTAAACGGTGGCCACACTGACGCCAAACATGAGCTCACTTAAGGTCATGGTGATTCTAGTTGGGTGAAAAAAAAAAGAAAAAAGGTCAGGGCATAAGTTCAACCTCAAAAAAAAAATGTCATAACTTTTTCCCCCCATTTTCCCCTCAAATGTTAATTGCTTACTGTAACGGGTCGGGATATTTTAGGCAATTCTAGAATAGAATAGACTTTATTGTATTTGTCTTGGACACCATGGCCCTGCCAGTAAACAACTTACATCTCACGCAACACAGTACATAACATACTGTAAATTAGAATATAACACTCCAAAAATAATAAAAGCTTGCCACATCTAATCTGAGTTTTGAGATTTTCTATTTAAAATTCTGACTGCACAAAATAATTTTTATAACGATTAGATTTATTTCCCATTCTAGATTCGATTCGATTAATTCTCCTTCTCAGTGGTGATAGTTATACAGTATCAATACAGTATCCATAATAAATATATTACTATTATTATCTAATAAATACAATTGTATATATTAGGGATGGAATGATTAACGGTTTGACGATAAATCATGATAAAATTCCCCACGGTTAATATTACCGTTTCATATTGTAATTATCACTAAAACCGTTTTCGATTACCACGATTTGAACAACTCATGATAAATAAATACTATCCAGCATAAAGCACAGTTTTAAGTAACAGTCTCAGAGTAGTTTCGTTTTGTGTGAAAACATGGCGGAAAGCTGGCAGGTTGCAAAAGAGTGCTAAGGGAATTATATATGTTAATTATAGGAATGTACCTCTAAAGGTTCTAACAATCTTCAGAAAAGATTCGATGGCATTTTGTTTTCATCTTCGCTTCTTGTAATACCTAATGAAGTAGTGTTTTAATCGCAATGCTGCTTTGTCCACGGAGGTTACGAGAATCAGCTGTAATTCTGCTGCTCCATAAGCGCCACCTAGTGTCAGAGAGTGGATTTACAGAGACATTTGCCATTTTATTTGTTCTTTGTTGATTTTAAATATAAAACTTGGTGAAACAATTTATGTGTCAGTACTTTCTGAACATTTCCATTTTAACAATACCGTAATAATACTGATAACCATGATAATTTTGGTCACTATAATCGTTACATTCAATCAGCATAAATCAAAACATGTTTTAATGTATTCTTAATCAAATTTATGCAGCCTTGGTGAAGTATTAAAAAAAAAAAAAACATAAAAAGCAAAAAAAATAAATAAATAAAAATGTGCATTTATTCTAAACTTCTGAGTAATAATATAGGATAATTTTGCCATAATTTCCCTTTTTTCTTTTTTTTTCTCTCGGAATTCATTCACTCACTCTCTCCTCCATGGAATACAGAAATACTTAGTTAAATTTGGTTAAAATGTTAATTTGGTATGTGTTGCCATTTAATTTTATAGACAGACAGACGATAGATAGATAGATAGATAGATAGATAGATATGCACAAAGTAATGACAATTAGATTTTCTTTTCTATTATAGTAATAAGAATTGTGGGGGGAAATACGTATAATTGGCATAATGCAAAAAAAAAAAACCTTATAAAATGTATTTTTAATCATTGTAATTTTAAATAGTTCACCTCAAAATATTACAAAAGTAATTTTGCATGAAGGCTATGACCTGGATATGTTATAGTGAGATTGACCCAGTTAGACTCGCTAGTGCTCCATAATGCCCCATGAACCAGAAAACTGAAGCCAGCTACAGGAGATCCGGTTCCTCTTCCTCAAACGTCCTACAGAACTCTACGTCAACATGACTGTTTCCACCGCCATCTTCTTGATTGCTAGAATCAACCCAGCTGACATGGTTATTGTAAGGACAAAGAGCTTTATTTAGCATGTGACGTTGACTTTGCCTAATTGTGGGGCATCACTAAAGACGCAATGAACTCTGGGAAACGTCCAAAGGAACCATAGTGAGAAGATTCCGATTTGAGTAGATTCTGTTGGGATGTGTGTGGTGGATGTCAACTGGATTTTATTAGTGAGGTCAAAGTGCAAATGTCTTTGGCAGCTGCGGTACCATGGTAACACTGCAGTTGAGTTGGCATTGAAGGAGTCTTCAGTTACTGACGGCCTCGTCGATCGCATCGGCCACATCTGCAGCGCCATCCAGACTTCCTCTGGCACGCCAGATCTTCACCGTGCGGTCACTGCAGGGTGAAGCCAGATGAGCGTCAGAGTGAACAAGAGTAACGGAATTGTAAAGAATGTAATAATAGTTCTGATTCCACTTTTATGCAACAATCCTGGATCCTAGCAGTGTGCTTTAGTACTTTTGAGGAGGAAGCCCCCTCCAAATAATACAAAACAAGTACATATATTAAACTAAAACATTAAGCATAATATTTTTTGTAACAGTTTTTGATTTATTTATTGAAAAAAATACATAAATTATTTATTGAGCACCATTTATTACAACAGATCTTACACATTTAATATAAATCTTTAAGTAATAGTCAGTAATAACACTGTCAGACCAACCAATTCATGAGTATTGGTGAGCAATTAATACAAATTATTATTATTATTTTATTTTTTTTATTGAATCAGTGGTCATGCGTATAGTTGTAGTTTCTGTCCACATCAGTGTTGTCTTAGTATCATTAAGATACTATAGTTTGCATTAATACTTTGAATTAGTTTTTAGTGTTATATTTTCTGTTTTAATTTCAGTTAACGTTTTAGAAAATTTGGTTGTGTGTTTTGGTAAGTTTTATTATTATTATTATTATTAAATTATTTTTTATTCATTTAAATATGTCTATATAGTTTGAATTAATTTTCATTTCAGCTTCAATTTGTTATTTTTGTTAAAGGGCACCTATTATGACTTATAAAATGTATTTTTAATCATTGTAATTTTAAATAGTTCACCTCAAAATATTACAAAAGTAATTTTGCATGAAGGCTATGACCTGGATATGTTATAGTGAGATTGACCCAGTTAGACTCGCTAGTGCTCCATAATGCCCCATGAACCAGAAAACTGAAGCCAGCTACAGGAGATCCGGTTCCTTATTTTTTTTAAAACCTTAAAGGGCACCTATTATGCAAAATCCACTTTTACATGGTGTTTGGACATAAATGTGTGTTGGCAGTGTGTGAACACAACCACCCTACAATGATAAACATCCACCCATTCTTTGTTTTGATTCTCTCGCAGTGTGACGTCATATTGTTTAGGCCCCGCCCACAGCGGCTGATTGACAGCTCTGCATTACTATAGTTTCCACCTTCAGCGGTTGTACGCTGTCCTCCATTTTCTCCGCGCTCGAGCAGCTGTAACGTCAACAATGTCTCGCAAGCAATCCCGATGCTCTGTGTTTGGATGCGAGACTGAAGATAAGAGTCTTCATTTTTTCCCAACATCTGAGGTGCTGAGGACGCTGTGGATTACTTTCATTTTTCAAGGTAATGCGCCCCAAAATCTACCTAAATACGTGTATCACTCCAGACTCCTTTGTGAATGTCATGTCGTTATAGTGCTTTTAACCGTATTTGTGTGCGTACGTTAAGTATCTTTTAACTGATCAGCGCCGTGCTTGTGAGATTAGTTCACATTATTCGTAGCACGAGATTCGTTTGGCAGGTCAGCGCGGCTCGAGCTCTGTAACATCGTGCTGATTCGTCCCACTTTCAGTGCATTTGGCTTCCCATATGTACGGCTAAACACCAGTTCTCTCGCTCTCAGTTATGTTGCTTCTACCGGCTGTAGATATGCAATGCAGAGAGACGTATACATGACGCCCTCTTCTGGAGACGGGGCGGGAATATGCAGCTCATTTACATTTAAAGCGACACACTCCAAAACAGCTCTTTTTTTTAGACACACCCCAAAAATGACATTTTCCAGCCGTTATAATAAATTATCTGTTGGGTATTTTGGGCTGAAACTTCACAGACACATTCTGGGGACACCCAAAACCAAAATTACATCTTGTAGAAAGGGGCATAATAGGTGCCCTTTAAAATAAATAAAAATGAGCATTGAAAATTAACTGAAATGCATGGTCCATTTCAGTCAACTGACTCAAAACGTTCAATTCTTGTGCATCACTCAAAAATGTTCATGGAAGTCTCCTCATGGCAACTGACACACGTTAAAATGTCTATCATTGTTTATTACCACATATGTCGGTGCATATAAATGAAATGAAATCTTTGTGTTAATATATTGAAAAGCTAGGTTATTTTTACTAGACATTTAATGTATTTTACTTTGAATATGCTTTGCAACAATAGCTGTTGAAATGAGGGTTCTCTGATGTTCAGCTCCAGTATGCACTATTTAGTTCTGAATTAGAACCAGTTCTTGATTCCCAGCCACAGTTTGATGTGTGTGTGTGTGTGAGAGACACTCACTCTGATGCAGTAAACAGATGGCTGCTGTTGGTAGAGATGCTGTTGATGGGGCTCTCGTGGCCTCTGAGTTCTCCCAGCGGACTCAGCGTGTCCGTGTGCCAGAGTTTGAGAACTCCTCCTCTACAGCCGCTCAAAAGCATGGGAGACGCCGGCACGACGCCCAGAGCACAAACCCAGTCACGATGAGCATTGGGTACCTGCTGTAGGACAAGCAACATCTCAACTCATCAAATCCTGGACAAACACAAACACCGTTTGAGCCCTGATTGATTGACTTCATGATGAGGTAATTAGCCTCTTCCTGATCTCATCCTCAGCACTGATTAATCAACTGATTGGCTAATTGTCCTTGTGGAAGCTACTACACTTGCATTATAATGTTGCTAGAGTGGCTCCAAGAAGTATTTGGACACTTAAGCCACACTTTAGAATAAATGTGAATTTAATTTGTGTGTGTGTGTGTGTGTACTAGGGGTGTAACGGTACACGTATTCATAGCGAATATTTTCGGTACGGGTCTTTCGGTTCGGTACGCAGGTGAGTGTGAGCATTCCTTCCTCTTTCCTACTAGTTTTAATGTGAAATAAACATGAATTAACATCTCATGCCTCATGTAATCGCTCAATCAGTGTTTCACTTGCGGAAAGATGTGATTAAAACGATTGGTAAACAAAATGTCACATAGCATTTCATTTACCTCAGACAAGTCATCAGTGTCTACAGCTCGTCAGTTCACCAGAGAAATTAAGTCAAGAGAAGATTTCACAAAATATTAGACTATATACTCATTATATTTGACTTTACCTGTTAGTGATGTCTTAATTACTTAATGTAGGCTATATTTAAATAAATCATTTAGGAAACAAGTTATGACAGCCACTGTGTAAATGATTATATTTCAACATCAAATAGAAATTGTAGGCTATAATTTAATTTAAATTTGAGTTGATTATTATAGTTAAAAATAAATAGTAATTAAATTTAAGTTTGGGCTTTGTTGTTAATTGTAACCATATAGTAAAGGGCTCCCTATAGTTTAGAGCAGAGAGATTTTTTTATAGATTTAAAAAAAAATATTTTGTTAGGTAGATTACTTTTTTTTTAAAATTTTAATTGAATTTATTTAAAGAGAGCAATTTGTTCAGTAAAACATTGTTTAATAAAAAATGTACCGAAACCATACCGAACCGTGACATCAAAACCGAGGTACGTACCGAACCGTCATGTTTGTGTACCGTTACACCCCTAGTGTGTACATATATTTTTTTTCTAGTTTTTTTTTTAAAAACATAAAAGTCAAAATTGACAAAATCAACCTTGAGATACAAAAATCTAAATTATGACATAAAAAGTCGAAATTTAAAAAAAATCATAATTATGAGATAAAAGACGCAATTTTGAGATTTTGTACTTGGCGGAAATGGGCTATGATACATAACCGCATCGCAACAACTCCCCAACTTAAAATTAATATTAAGACTTGTTATACTGTTTAAGACTTTTTATGGCCTTACATTTAATAAAAATAAATGTAAGACCTTTTTAAGGAGTTGCAGAAACCCTGATGGCATATAGTATACAAATCATGTAGCAGATCTAGACAGGTGGTGCTGGGGGAGGTGGAGGGTTTCAGACGAATCTCAAATGCATCTGCAGCAAAATCAGCCAATTAGCTTGTGCCATGTAGTAAATTATATGATTTATAATTCCAAGCAGATTGCATATACATATTTGGTGTGAAATATTTACAGTTTAATCATGTATTCATGTATACTTTTGTCAGTATAGGTGGCTATACCTGCTGTAGGTCCTTGCGGGTCAGGTCCCATTTCTTAATGCCGTTGTCTCTGGAGCCACTAAACAGACAATCTCCCTGAACCACCAGGGACTCGATGCCATCGTAGTGGGGCGGCTCGAAGTTATGAGTGGGGCTGATACTACCCACAGCACCCTCTGTCACATCAAACAGCTGCAGAAACAAATCACACATCTAATCACATCATATATATTGAGATTTCAAGTTATAGAGACGATATATGCTCAGTCTAAAGGCCACTGCAAACAGCATCAGTATATCATGTAACAGGAAGTGGACAGGTACATTTACTCATTCACTGCGCATCAGTACACAAATGTGACTCAAAATAAAATGTACATGCTTTTTGTTGTATAGAAAGCACCACACATAACATGCAAGGGCCATGTTGTGGCCATGAAATAACAAATTTTATTTAGTACAACAAAGAAAAGATTTAACTAAAACAAGGCCACAAAGTCAAGGGAATTAATTCTTAATTTGTGACCACGATATATATATATATATATATATATATATATATATTCATACTGCATGTCATGTTGTCAGACCTAATAGATATGTTAGATAATCTGTAACAAAAAGTTAGAATGAAATGTAGATGGTTTTTATAAATGTGTATCCTAGCCTGTCCCAAGATTGTGACCTTACAGCTTACTTTTGGCATAATCTGTTTAATGATCAGTGTATTCATTATAGTTACTAAGAGTAGCTAAAAGTACTAAACAGTATTTAATTTTTAGTAGTATTTAATTTTCAAACAATATTAAGACATTTGGGGCCAGATTCACTAAACAGGGCAAATTAGTGTTAGAGTGCAACTCCGTTAAAGCGCCAATGGGAGGGGAAAATTCTGCGGGTGATTTACTAACAATGCACACAATAAGGAACACAATAATGACAGCGCAATCTACCTAGAGTAGCGCAAATTGCCGCCTGCTTTAAGACATGCTTTTTTACTAATGGTGCAAATACCAGTAATTTGATGAGCGCAAACATTAGTAAACCGCGTTGCGTGATTCATTTTAATACTCTCCTCCCATAAATTTTGCATTTGAAAGGGAAACTCCAGCAAATGCATATTAAATAAGGTCAGGTGCAAAAATAAAATTTTCAAAATGACCACTGCAGATAAATATACAAACCTTGATGTAGTGATCCTTGGAGCCCGTGATAACTAGATCCTGTCCATTCCCAGTCTGATCAACAGTCAAGCACATGACCGGACCCAGATGACCCATCAGTTTCCCCGTACACACAAATCTGACAGAAAGAGATGGAGAACAAGTGAAAGAATTAGATATATGATGTAGCAAATTATTAACTCTCCAGAGTAGGTGAAATAAAGGATGCTGGGCCAAACTTATACCGTCTCAGGTCCCACACACGAACAGAGTTGCCTGCGGCAGCATAGAGAACAGTTCCAGATGGGTTCAGAAAGATCTGGTTGATCTGGTTCTCGCCGGCCGGGATGGTCACGGTGCGGTTCGTACTGGCTGCACATGTGTCACCAGTGTTCACCAGACCCGACGATCTGAAGGTAGAAATGCACAATCACAGACTGAGAAAATATAAATAATACCAAATGACCATTTTAAATTGAATTAATACATTTTTAATTACTTCACGTTTTTATGAACATTGTCTCAAGCAGCATCACAAGTAACGTTAGTTAAGTAATCAGATTTTTTTTCAAGTAGCTAGTAAAGTAACACGTTACTTTTTTTAACAGTACAATAAAATAGATCTGAGTTACTTTTTCAAATAGTAACGCCACTTACTTTGTTTTCCCATTTATTGACTGACAATGCCTTTGTTGCTGACCCTTGATGATCCAATTCAACCATACTAAGCAAAAATGACTAAACATAACATTTATGTTACATTTTTTTTCTTATTGCTGAAGAGTGCTGAACTTTCTTTTTCCTGCACCCTCTACTGTACAGATGTGAATTTACATTTCCTTCAGCCTGAGGCTTATTCATTTCACTTTTGGTGTGAAAGGGCTTTTACATTTCCCAAAGACATAACTTTTTATATTAAAAATAAACAAGCAAGCCCAGCACAAATGAGAAAAAGTAACACAAGAGCAATGTAACACATTATTTTACATAAAAATAATTAACACAATATTGTAATGCTTTACATTTAAAAATAACTTTCCCCAACAAAGGTCATCTAATGCAAATTTGATAAAGACCCAAACGAAGCTGTTGAACAAGTCAAAATAGAATGTTTTCATTTCACATTTTTAATTAATATTTTTTTGTGCTTTAAAGAAATACACTTATTTTGTTGCGTTGACTAACATATTAAAGAACATGTAAAGTACTTATAATTGGATAGGGTTAGGGTTAGTGTTACTTGCATGTAATTATGCATAATTTATGGTTATTATAATAGTAAGCACATGTAACGTGTAACAAGGACACCTTAAAATAAAGTGTTACCTACATTTTCATTTAATTGCACTTAACATGTAATTAAGTGTTCAAAAACATGACATGTGGTATTGGTATTCTGATAACCCTAATTTAAAGAATGCTTGTAGTTTCTTTGATATGCACATGTTAGGTTGGACAGGAACTCACGTGAGTGTCCGGATGCACTTTGCGGAGTCACGGATGTCCCAGACTTTGATGTAGGAGGTGGAGACTGTGAATACCAAGCTGGAGCTGTAACGCACAGATACCACATTGTTGGGGTGGCCGCCTAGAGACATGATCTCCTGTCCCGTGACCAGGTTCCACACCTTACAAGTCCGGTCTGAAAGCGGAAACAGGGCCAGTTTATAAAAAGTGGTTAGACCAATTATTTTTACTAAGAAGTACTAAAAAATTAAGGAACTGGAAGGGTTAATCTCATAACTCTCTGCTCTTGGTAACTCTGGAACTGCCCTATCCTGGTTCACTTCCTACCACTTCCCACATCTCCAGTACTGCCTCTGTCTCACACGGTGTTCCCCAGGGTTCTGTTCTTGGGCCTTGACTGTTCATCATGGCTTTAACTTCCATTGCTACACACACAACTTTACATTTGTTCTCAGTGCACTGCTCGTTTCCCCACAAACTCTGTATTGGCTTGAATCGATGACATACATTTGAGGATGGGTAGTCATTTTTTTCTCAAACTCAACACTGAAACAATAGATCTACTTATTGCTGGTCCTTTTCAATTTGCATCCTGTTTCTGTGCTGACAGTGTTAATATTGCTGGAGTGCTGGTTTGACTCCTTCAATTCTCTCTTCTATGGCTTACCGAACACAACAATAAATAAGCTCTAATTCATTCAGAACTCCACAGCTAGGGTTCTCACATACCAATAAACTCTCTCCACATAACTTCTATTCTACGCAGACTACATCGGCTACCCATTCACTTACATATTCAATACAAGATTCTTCTCATCACCACATTCAGGGCCTTCATGGTCTTGCCCCCATATATTTCTCACCACCCTCATGAACTGTTTTCATGCTATCTTATGTTATGTTATGTTAACTATGCTCAGTGTATTGTCACTGTATTGTCTCTTTGCCTGCTGTTGTGTTTACTAAAGCAACCTGGTTGGATAAGCACAACAAAATCATACTAGCATAAACCATATAATGAATGTTGAACGGTGTTCTGACCTTTTGACCCGGTGAAGAGGAGGTCATCTGTGGAGTCAACACACAGTACAGCTTTACTGTGACCCTCGGCTATATGAATACACTGCAGTGAGCCACCACGACTGCTCTTCGACACAGGAACAGGGTTGATGACACCTCTGACGCATGTCAAAAAAAATCAACAATCAGTAGATTCCTCCATTAAATCTTGTGTATCGAAACATTGCAGCAAACAGTGCCATAAAAATACTTTCCTGATTACCTCTTTACCTGTATATTTATCTAAATATATTCATGTAATCAAATGTATTAGACAATGGGAACAGGCAAAACAAAGCGTAGTTTTGAAGACTCTGAGTGGTGGTAATATCTCCAGAAGTGTCCATCCCACCAACATTTCTCCCACAGCAAATCAGAATATCATGCAGGATGTTTTAACAAAATACCAGAAAAACTTTCAATAAACTGTAGCCATCTCTAACATCAGCTAAGCTCAATGTTTATGAACAATTAACAATTAAAAAAAACACGTTTGTCAGGAGGTTTTCTAAATAAACAAACAATCAAAGAGAATACCATGAAGACGACAAATCCTTTTATGGCACTGTATGATTTTTCAAAAATAGTTTATGAAACAAGTACGACAGGGCAAGCATGCCAATGCTGTCCAGAAATGTATCTACATGCAATGAAAAAAACATGTCTGATGCAAAACCAAACAGAAAAACAAAAATAAATCAGAAAATTTAATTGGAGTGGAGAGGCTTGTACAATCCCTTTTGTTTGAGAAAAGAACAGGGAAAGACTGAAGCACAATAAAGTTTAAACCTAAACCCAAACAATCTCATTTATACTACAATTTATATTACAAAAATATATTAATTGTGTACATGTTATTACATAATTTGTAAAAAATTTAATATTTACCCTAATTCCTGTCGATATAAAAACTCACTCTAGGTTCCTCCCAAACCACTGAAAAGACTTTAAATACATGCACATTCACATACTCACAACACCCACACACAGAGAAATCTGTTATTCAATTAACATATGAAAATAGTCTAATTTAAATGCAAATCAAAAACCAAAACACTTCAGATGCAAATAATCAGAGTAGTCAGCATTTGTAAGGCAAAAACTTCTCGTGGCCTCGGTTTACATTGTGTTATGTAAGTTCTAGAGAAAATAAATATTATAACTGAACTGGTATATCACTCTGCAGGTCAACAGAAGGATTTTAGTTTCCGTCTTGTGGTGAAAAACATTGGCCTGGTCATCCCCTTAGAGACATTTAATTTTGCAAGGACACTTATTTGTTTTAGACTACTGTTCATTGACTACCATGCGACAAGTTCTGCAGGGCTAAATCTATGACTACTGTACTTTCAAAGTAAAGCCAATTTGGTATTCTGTGGCCACTTTTTATGTGGACTGCTAATAACACGACTATTGACAATACTCTGAATTAGAAAATGCCATGTAAATACCATTTTCTGGATTACTGAAAACAATCATTTGTCTAAATTGGAGTTTCGACCCCCTTCTGAGCAGTACACAATATGTGATTCATTCTCATTCTTCTCATTCTTAATAAAGCCAGTAGTGTGATTATTGCAATGTAAAGAGGCATTTGTTTGACATATTAGGGTAAGAGTCAGAGAACATGCTTCTTCAAAACCGTTTGCAGTATTCTGTTTCAAAGAAGATCTTAAAAAACAACAACAACACAAACAGGCAGACACCAAAACCTCCAAAAACTGCAGTAGTAACTTTCTGCCACTGGGGGAGTGCTAGCTCTTACTGTGTGATCTCTTTGGCTTTAGCCTTGTCAGCCAGGGCTTGTCCCCTGTCATAAGTCTTCCTGCCAGACAGAGGGGATGGTTCCAGGACTCTCTTTTGCCCACCTGCTGGAAGTCTGTTGCCAGAGCTGCTACTTTAAGATCCATTTGTAACGTGAAAGACAGAAACATAAAATAAAACACAAGTAATGAAAAAAAAAAGACACAAAATAAAATGGCCAGCATGCATAATAAAAGACATATCTGCTACTCCTGACAAACAGATATTTTGAAAATATATGCTACTTTTGACAAACAGATATTCTGAACATACTGTATCTGCTACTTCTGGCAAACAGATATTTTGAAAATATATGCTACTTTTGACAAACAGATATTTTGAACATACTGTATCTGCTACTTCTGACAAACAGATATTTTGAATATATCCACTACTTCTGACAAACAGATATTTTGAACATAATTTCTACTTCTGACAAACAGATATTTTGAATATTCCGGCTACTTCTGACAAACAGATATTTAGAAAATAATTTCTACTTCTGACAATCAGATATTTTGAATATATCGGCTACTTCTGACAATCAGATATTTTGAACATAATTTCTACTTCTGACAATCAGGTATTTTGAATATATCGGCTACTTCTGACAAACAGATATTTTGAATATTCCGGCTACTTCTGACAAACAGATATTTAGAAAATAATTTCTACTTCTGACAATCAGATATTTTGAATATATCG